AAAAAAAAAAAAATCAGGAAACCCTAGTTGGTCTTCAGAGCTAGTCCAGTGTCTCTTAAGTCTCCCAATCCATTTGTTCCATTTGTAGTTGGGCTTGACTTAGTTGAACATCCTGGGAAGATTATTAGGATTAGATTATTATCTTTTGAGCTGACTTTACCAGACCTTTTATTTCACCCACAGGCATTGAAGGCCACTGGACTACAGACATCAGATCCTCGGCTCCGGGACTGCATGTGCCAGATGCACCGCATGGTCCAAGAATCCAGCAGTGGTGGCCTCTTAGACCGAGATCTCTTCCAAAAGTGAGGGCCCCAAAGATAAGGGCACTAGTTCCCTGAACTGTTCTGTGGACAGAGACTGGGCAATTTTATAGCTCAGCCCACTTTGTTTTATTAGTTATTATACAAGTGCTACATGAATACTCATATAAGTTTTAACGATTTATAAGCACATGCTCTCATTTCCCTCTCTACCACATCCTAGTCCCACTTTCCCAGAAGTAAACATTGTGAACAGATTACTGAGCATCTTCTAGATAATGTCCTATTTATTCACTAGATATTTGAATATTTATAAACATGTAAATATGACTTAGGACTTCTAAAATATATAGAGGGGACATATATGTTTATTGTTATTTCTCATATCTCAAGACATAATGACTTGAGCCATCTCCCATGTTATTATAACCCCTCATTTCAGAGGTAAAGAATGAAAACCTAGAAAGATAAAAAGTGACTTGCCAAATGTCACATAGCTATTGGTCCCAATCCAGATAGCTACTTATAACCTTCTTTGTTCTCACATTCCATGGCTCCAAAGTGAGCCCCAGCTGCATCTCTCTAGCCTTCTAATGCACTCGTGTCTGGGATCCAGGTGTGTGAGCAGCAACATTGTGCTCCTGACCCAGGCATTCCGAAAGAAGTTTGTCATTCCTGATTTTGAGGAGTTCACGGGCCATGTGGATCGCATCTTTGAGGATTGCAAAGAGCTCACTGGAGGCAAAGTGAGTGCCAGGGGGATAAGGGAGGGGCAGGGGCTCTGGGCCAGACATAACTTGCTTCTCAGAGACTTTCTTTTTTTTTGCGGGGGGGGGGGG